GGGTTGCGACCAAACCCCGCGAACACTTTTTGTGACGTAGGAGATTTCATTTTACTACTAGTAGTAATAGTAGTTCTGCTGATTGAAAGGGTTATCCTTGCTGGTCTTGTTGTTCATTGTAGTTATGAGGGTAATTTGGAGGTTATTTTCAAGTACTGGTGTTGTTAATGCTGTCCCAAGCCTCTTCTTGCTTGGTAGTAGTGCTCCCCAGACAGGATTGATATCCTTGGGTTCCTCACAATACAAGGACAACAACAAAAGTCTCAGAGATATCTAGTAATTCATCATACTACTACTAGTAGTACTACTGCTGGTAGTACTACCAATCATACTCGTCAGTACTACTACTAGTAGTACTAGTACCACAGACAGGCTTATTCTTTTCATTTCATCACCATTTGTGCTGCCTTCATTATTGATTTTCAGAACTTTTTCTATCATCTCAGCAGTTTGTAGTAGTACTAGTAGTACTAGTAGTATCATCAGCAGAGTACGACAATGCAGATAAAACATGATGGTAGTAGCTACTACGTCCGAAGTATGTACCATACCAGCTACCTCATTTATATCCAGCTCCTAATATTTCCACTACTTGTTCACTCCCACTAGTATTAGTAGTTCCCCAAACAGTCTGTTCATAATGATACATACCAGTACAAATATTTTTTAAAAATAAACATTCAAATCTAGTAGTCATGTATGTGGGAGCCAAAGGGTTTTGGCACAACGAGGTAAACAGAAAAATAATGCATTAGTCATAAAAAGCCCACCCACCCCAGGCAAAAAAGTTTCTAAAGTGAGTAAAATGGTTGTTTATTTTGAAGCCCAGCATTTAGCAGTACCAGATCCAACATAAACCTAGTACTAGAATTTACTTGGGCATTTTTTACCACCACAATCAGTTCAATGGGCTAACAAGAGGTCCAGAAGAAATGCCTCTAGTACTAGTAATATCCTTCACCCCTCTTGGAGATATACTTTGTCACAATATTGGGAAGAGTTTGCTGTGTCATGATTCTTGTTACACAATTCTAGGCCTGGAGGGAGCTGGTTCTCCATTAACAGCCAGTAGGGTGGCTAAACTTTGATGTTTTCAGAGACCACTGTGTTACAGAATATGCTAAAACTTTACCAACAAACAACTCTAGAGCACAAGAAGACTAAGTGCTCAGTCAAAGTTGATACAATTACCTAACAGGATGGCTGAATCTTGAGCTAATTTTAGGTGTAAATATAGATGTTTATCTGGTAGGACTCCTCCACTTGCTGCTGCTGTACTAACACACAAGCCCATCAGCACTCCTTTTTGTTTGATTTGGAACTGTCCTTTGCTTTTGGACACTTCTGCTCTTTCCCTCCTTCTTTTCAAACAACTTCACAATCTTAATACTAAACAAGAACTCCCACTAGCCATTGAGACGAGACCATCATGCTGATTCCTAAAGCAGAGAATGTTTTCTTTTGTCAGTCACCTTGTCATCAAAAAGGAAAAGGGCACCTATTTTTTCTTTCTGACACCAGCAGCAGGGCTGTTGCAGGCCTCCAGCAATAAAAATGCAAAAATTGCATGCTGCTGTACTACAAAAAGCTGGGGGAGGGGGGCTGCTTCTTTTACCCATTTGTTTGCCATGCATTGAATTCATTTCTTGGTTCTTTGTTTTCTCTAGAAAGTTGTCATACTAGTATGTACCATTTTGATAAGAGAAGAAAAGTAACATGCTGCTTCTGAGCAGCAAGAAGAGAGCTTTGTTTTCAATCATTCTTATCAGCAATGTGAATTTTCTGATATTTACTAGAATTACATTAAAAGAAGATAAGAAAATTTAATGCACCTCACCAGCCACAAGGGGCTGGTGGTGGTGAATAAAAACAAGCAATCATAGTACCATCACTATACATCTACTACTACTACTACTACTAGCACTGCTCCTATTACCAGCATCTATTTATTGAGTAGTAAGAAAGAAATAGTATTACTAATAGTGGTGTAACAAAATGCAATGGGTAAATTAGAAAAGTGTTACCGCAGATGACAGTACTCTACTTGTAAAAGTACTACTAGTAGCATAGTACAGGTAGCTATTAGTACTACAGGAGTCACCAGAACAAGGAACAGCCAATGGTAACATACTACCTACAGCAACAATTTACTACCTCAGATACTAGTAGCATCACTATCCAATACTACTACTAGTAGTAGTATCCGCTGGTATTTTATGGACATGTTTATTAGTAAAATACAAGTAGTCCCATCCTGAACATTCAAATGAAAAAGATTCAATTTTGAGTCGAAAGTATAGTATCAAGAATATTAATCATTGGCAGAACTTTCGCTAATGTAATCAGTAGAACACATATAAAAAGATGAGAATCAATGTAATGTAATCTATTTTCATGTTTTCTCGAATTCAGACTTGAAAAACAACCTCAGTTCACGACAGACATCGAATCGTCGTGAGGTAATGACAATACTGTCAATTGCAGCAAGTCTTTGAAGTATCAGGCTTCTAGAATAATAAACGAAGAATTAGCAGAATACAAAATATTGGTATGGGAGAACGGTAGATAATCTCTAGAAAAGTACATTAGCAATGGCATTCGAAGTATGCCTTTTTTAGAAAAGTCATGGCATATGCTTCATGGTCGGAGAGGGCTGTGGCAGTACGGTATATTCGGTGGTATGGAAATGTCGTCATCAATTCAAATGCCTTGATGATACTGTTTGCTTTGTCATTTCTTTTCTAGCCCCACTTCAGAATGGCGGATCCCCACGATAAACCAGCACCAAATCCGGCGCACGCAATGACATCCCCCTTCTTCACTTGTCCCGACTGGACCGCCTCACTAAGAGCGATGGGAATGGATCCCGCACTGGTATTCCCGTAATCAGCCAAGTTTGTGATGATCTTTTCCTTCGGAATTTTTAGGCGTTTGGCGACCACTTCCATAATTCGAATGTTGGCCTGGTGAAGTAGTAACCAATCAATGTCATCGGCGGTCATGTTGGCTTCTTCGAGAGCTTCTGTGACGACCCGGGGGACTTCTCTCGTGGCGAATTTGTATACGTTTTGGCCAGTCATAGCCAGGTTGTTGTACTCGGAGTTTTCTAATGTGATTGGATCTGGTGTTGATACTTCAACCGGAGTTCCCTTGTATCTGTAGCATAATAATTGATTTCATTCAGAATTTTTATCCAATGAATCCATCCATACAGAAAGAGAAAGGTAAGAAGCATATTAAAAAAATATATATTCCATATATATTTCTCGTCAGTAATGATATGCACAATCTGATCGCAGTTTGATTCTTCAGGCGAACCAACGGTCGATATCAACAACGGTGTACCGAGAAAAAGAAAATATTTTCATAACTTACACGCAATTCAAATCTTCGTATCCTTCTCCGTTGGAATGCGCGGCGTATCCAAGCAATCCCGGCGTTATTTCATCGCTTTCGTCATCGCTGTCATTTTGGTTGGTGACGACCATTGCGCCGGCTCCGTCCCCGAAAAGGATACATTGGTTTCGATCCTCCCAGTCGACAACTCTGGAAAGGGCATCGGCACCAATCACCAAAGCGTTTTTCAGTTTCGTGTTAGGGCTGCTCAAATACATCCCCGCCGTGACGGTTCCAAACAAAAAACCGCTGCATGCGGCTGTCAAATCAAATGCCATGGTTGCTTTCGAGCATCCAATCTCGGCAGCAATCGCGGTGGCATCTCCAAACATGTCTTCGGGACTGCTGGTGGCGCAGATGACAATATCGATATCTTCGGCCGAAACGCCTGCCATTTCCAAGGCATCCTTGGAGGCCTTGACACCTAGCTCCCGAAGGGACTCGCCACTTACCAGGAGCCGGCGCTGGGCAATTCCAGTGCGGGTTCGGATCCATTCGTCGTCTGTTTCAACTACGGCCTCCAAATCCTTGTTCGTTACCACCGTTTTGGGGGCAGCGTGCCCGACTCCAATGGGACGGCATGGAAGCGTTCCCGATTGGGCCATAGATAGTTGGCTGCTAGTTTTGTGTTGTGTATGTGAAGTAGGGGCAAATGCCTGAGACCCTTGGAAGGATCCCGCTGCCACTAGCAGGAATGCGTTTGTTGCGATTGTAGTCAATTTCATGATTATTGGTTATTCGTATTGGTTTCGATCACTGGCAAAAACAGAATCAAGAATTTCGTTGGATGTTTTGTTGCTAGCGCTTCCTCTAGTTGTTGTTCCCGTTTCCTGTTTTGATGCTATAGCTGCGGTTGAAAAGCTTCAGTAGGATAGTTAGCTCCTGACAAATCAAGCTGTTGTTTGTAGAAACTGCTGATTAGATGGGTTCATCGATTGCGGTGGCACCGACAAGGCATGGGACAGATCCGAACGTGGGCGATCGATGAGCCAAAGTCTTTTCCTGAAATTTCCGGATTCGCAAATGCTCATCTTTTTCGTTGTCGTGCGTCGATTCTGCCGATGGAAGTGAAGTACTAGTAGCAGTACGCTAAATATCTGCTGTGCGTATCGCCGGGCGCGATTTTGAATGTGCGGTTCCCAAAGATTTGGTCGCGTCCCTGCTTTGTGACGTCAGTCACTAACACTTTTGAATACGAAAATAAAAGTGCTTTGCAATACGTTAATTTGCAATTGAATATGGAATTACGTTTTTTGCCATGAATTTGACGTCACCAAAACATCAAGTTGCGTGTCGCCGAGTTTTCGGATACCTCCCGTTGGCGGTAAAGCATTACGAGATGGGAACGTTGTGACCGCATCATAAACGTTACCACGCGTTTTCCGGTTTTGGAAAACAGACATCATCGCATCGGATCCGGTTCCATCTCCTCTCCTCGACCAAAGCTCCGTTCAAACTCCACAGCTGGAACGCAATCTCAAGTGCTTTCGTACGACCGCAACAATTTTTGCCTCTTATTACTCAATTTATTGACAAAGTCACTATCAGACGATACTACATACAGCAACAATGAAATTTCAGTCCGCTGTATGCCTACTATTGGCGCTTCCAGCCTCCAATGCGTTCGTTACGCGAACCTCCTCAGGTGGGTTTTGTTGGTCAATGCGCTGCAGTTCACGTGTGCTGGTTGTGGTGGACGAGCTGAAGCGAAGAGCAGCCGGGATTCAACCCGGAGCAATGCAACGTGCGACAGAGGCGAAAGCTATTCCGGGAGATTACCTATTGGTGTGCGATGCATGCGATGGAATTCAATTTCCGCATGGAAGGGAGGGGGGGTTTATTATCTGAGAGATGCGAAACATGTTGGACGACACCGTTGTCATTGAAAACCTTCGAAAGCAAGGGAGCGGATGTGTAGCCGTTTCTCAATGATATACGAGACTTAGCTATTGAAAGTGAATGATGTCCTTACCAGTGTTTCCTTTCGTCTTTGTTTTGTTGTATTTGATGCACACTATGGTCTTTTGACACTCAGTCCCAACTGTCTCCTCGTCCACATCCCTTAATGCCGAACGAAGGGTTGTTGTCACCGGCATGGGAATTGTATCGTGTCTGGGAAACACGTTAGAGGATGTCAAAAAGAGTCTCTACGACGCCGAACCGGGGATCTCGTTCCAAGAAGAATTTGCCGAACTCAATATCAAATCGAACGTAGCCGGTGTTCCCGATCTTACCGAGAAAGACTTCAAGGAACTCATCCCCAAGACCGCCCTCCGATTCATGGGACAAAACGGAAAATACGCCTACGTTTCCCTCGACCGAGCGATCCAAGACGCCGGCCTCAAACCCGAGGACTACGAGGAAAACCCCCGTGTCGCCGCCATTATCGGACAGGGAGGTACCTCCATTCCCGACATCGTCGAGACCTGCGACGCCGTCAAGGGCCAGGTCAAGCGATGGAAGAACAAGGTCGGACCCTTCCGGGTCACCCGTTCCATGGGATCGACCTGCTCGGCCGTTCTGGCGACCAGCTTCAAGGTCCAGGGACCCAGTTTCTCCATCAGTAGTGCCTGCAGTACCGGGGCCCACTGCATCGGAACGGGAATGGAACAAATCAAGCTCAACAAGGCCGATGTAGCCTTCTGCGGAGCCGGTGAGTCGAAAAGGGCCTTTGTTGGTGTGCGTTGCGTTGCGTTGGACTGCACTGGACTGCATTCTATTTTCCGACCACGGGTTTTTCTAACTCTTGTTCTTCCTGCCGTTTTGCACAACATTTCTTTCCTGCTGCCGTGTGTGTTGGCAACAACCCCTTGCCGCTGGTGTTTTCGTTTCGTTTCGTTTCGTTTCGTTTGGTCCGCAGGAGAGAACGTCAACTGGCAATTCACGAGTATGTTCGACTGCATGGGAGCCCTGTCGACGTCCTACAACGAGGACCCAAAGACGGCCTCCCGTGCCTTTGACAAGACCCGCGACGGCTTTGTCATCGCCGGGGGCGGCGGCATGGTCGTCCTCGAGGAGCTCGAGCACGCCAAGGCCCGCGGCGCCAAGATCTACGCCGAGCTCGTCGGGTACGCGGCCAACTCGGACGGCTACGACATGGTGGCCCCCTCCGGGGTCGGCGGGGAGCGGTGCATGCAGCTGGCCCTCGACGACGCGGCGCGAAACGGGGCGGGCGACAAGCCCGTGGACTACATCAACACGCACGGGACCTCCACCCCGGTCGGGGACGTGGCCGAGCTGGGCGCCATCAAGCGGTTGTTCGACACGAAGGACTACCAGCCCAACGTGGGATCGACAAAGTCCCTCAGCGGCCACTCCCTGGGTGCCGCCGGCGTCCAGGAGGCCATCTACTCGTTGCTGATGATGGACAACGACTTTATGGCCGAGTCCGCCAACATCAACGAGCTGGTCGACGAGGCGGAGGGAATGAGCATCCTGACGGAACGAAAAGACGGACCCTTCGAGCGAGCCATGTCCAACAGCTTTGGATTCGGTGGAACGAACTGCGCCCTCGTCTTTGACAAGTACCACGAGTAGGCCAACGAAGGACCCTCCGAGGCCCTTTTGGGGATGCAGCGCGGTCGTGCCTGCGCACGGCGTGCACCGCATCACCGAGTGAACCCTTTGGGTACGCTCGTGCGGATCCGTTTCTGCAGCCAACCAACCAACCATGGATTGGGGAAGACCGACAAAGCGTCGCCAATCCATCCAACACCGAACAACTATACGTTTCCAATAGAATAATATTGAAATAATCCAACGCTACCATATACTATGTACCGAACCGCCAATGCACGTACCCAGGGGTACGCACCACTATTTTGCGAAACACCGAAAAGAAGACTGCGCTACGGATGGACGAAATCAACCATTCACTAGGACCTATACTACTTGTATTGTTGTAGCGTGGTGTGTTTGTTCCAGGCCGCGGCAATCATATCACGAGAAAGCCTTTGTCGCACTCGCACTCGCATTCGCTGTCGCTCGTTCCCTCCGCGGCGTCCCCAAAGCGGCCGTCTCCGTCTTCGTCCCCGTCGCTGCTTCCACTGCCCCTTGGGTCCCGCCCCCCCACCGGCTGCATCGCCGACCCCAGGGGGGCCTCCGGTCTCCGGAAGCGGCCGGCCCCGAGCGGTTTCCACCGCTTTGGATCCGGAACCGGAAAGGCCGGGGGATCGATGTCGTCGTCGTCGTCGTTGCGATCGATGTCGTCCTCGTCGTCGTCGTTGCAATCGATGTCGTCAACGCCAACGCCAACGCCATTGTCCTCGTCAACACCATTGTCAACGCCATTGTCATCGTCATCGTCATCGTCCTCGTCAACGCCATCGTCCTCGTCAACGCCAATGCCATCGTCAATGCCAACGCCGCCCGCGTCGATGCCTTTGCCGCCGCCTCCCCCGCGAAACGGCCTCCCCCCTGCAACGGCCCCCGCCGGCCAAGAGTGCTTCCGGCAGAGGTAGAGGACGGCGGCCTCCTGGGCCGGCAGGGCCCAGGCCGGAACGGTCCGGTTGATCCTCAGGCAGGCCCCCGAGGGCAGGACAATGTCGGCCCGGACGGAGGAGGAATCCCCGTGGGGGAGTCGGAGCGGGAGGGAAGGCGGGAACGGCTCGTCCCCGCCCGTTTGGTCCCCGCCGCTTTCGCTTTCGCCGTGGTTGTGGTTGTGGCTTTGGTTGTTCTTGTTCTTGTTCTTGTTCTTGTTCTTGTTCCTGTTCTGGACCGTGCCATTGCCGCTGCCGCTGCCGCTTTCAGCCTCCCGGCCGGCCAGAGACACCGCGTCCCGGAGGGCAGCGAAGCTCCGTTCCGGGGCCCGGCGGACGATCCTTTCCAGGAGGTCGGGGCGTCCCCTCCGGAACCAGGGGTGGTGGTAGGCCCGGATTCCGGACCGGGCAGCGCAAGCCCTGGATGGAATCGTGGACGGGCCTGCAGCTGCGCCTGGTTCCGCGTCCCTGGTGGGAGCATGGCTGGGCTCTTGTGGTTGTGGCTGCGAATGCTGCTGCTGCTGCTCTTGTGGTTGTGGTTTCGAATGCTGCTGCTGCTGCTGCTCGAGGAGCTCCTGTTCCACGGCATGCGCCCGAACAAATCCCCAGTTGTTGAGCTGCCGCTCGAAGGACCGGAACGTGGATTGGGACGGAAAGCAGGACCGGGCGCTTTCGTGCCCCAGGAACCGGTCCTTGTCCCAGATCACGACACTGCAGGGATTGGTGGATGCGCCTGTGTCTGTTTCTGCCGGGGTTGTGCGGTTGCTGCTTCCGTGCCAGGAACAGAGGCCCCCCCCTTCCCCGCTGCCGAGGAGCCGAAAGAGCCTGGCCGGGAACCGTGGTTGGGGTGGCTCGGCAGGGGGAGCGGCCTCCGCCCCTGGCCGCACCGGGAGCCTCCCCCGGAAGAGGCAGCGCCCGGATCCCCCAATGCGGTCACCCCTTTTCCGAACCGGCCCGCACAATGGGATCCTCTTTCCCCCCACGGGTCTCCCCGAACCCCTGCTTGGAATCGCCGCCGCCGGGCAGGGGGAGCGGCTTGGTTCTTTTTCGGCGCTGCCGCTGGCACCGGCGTTGCGAAGCGTGCGGGCCCTTGGTGGAACGGGCATGGTTGGCGGAGGGAGGGCCCGGAGGAAACAAAGCGGGTGCTGTATGCTAGCGAAGCAAAGCAAAGCAAAGCACGGGAAGGCAAAGCGAGGAGGGGCACGGCATTCTTTGTTGGTATGTTGGTCTGTTTGTTTCTTTGTTTGTTTCTTCCGCTGGGAGTCGAGTCGAGTCGATGCATCGCATTGCACCGCACCGCAGCGAGAAGGCTCGTGTGGCACCGAATCGATGGGAACCGAACCAATCCACTCCGATCCGCACCATGCGGTCCCGCTGCACAGCCGCGCCAGCACCCGCGTCCATCTTCGTTTCGTTTCGTCTCGTGTTGGTGATCGAGTCCCACGCAAACGGACGCTGCTCCTGCCCCGGTGGGTTCCCTCGGGTTGTGGGCAACAAAAAAACAAAAGATGATTTTTGTTGGGTTTCTGTTTCGGTGGGTGTTTTTGGTTCCCAACGTACGGTAGTACCGGCCGGTACGTACTGTAAAAAAACAGCGTGCTTGTGGGAATCACACAAAATCACCAAAGTGTGTCCGTACGGATGGGACTCAAAATGATTCAGTGTAATCCTCACAACTGCAAGTGTTTTAAATAATTTCTTGCAGTTGTGATGGAGTACACCGGATCACGAGTAGATAGTGAATGACCAAAACGACTAAATCGATTGCAGGGCGGTTTCGACCGACAAAAATTCGATTTTTTTCATTCTCACATCTCCACTTCATTCATTCCTTACTACTTGAGAATTTCCATTCGAACTTACTTCTGGACAATCTGTTAGTGCTTACTAGTGGGGACAAAATATTAATCAGCACTGCAAACTGCTGGCGACCAGTGCCGTGGCCGTAATTCAGAGGGACTAGCATGCTTTGTCGAACACCAACAAAGAAACGAATCAAATTCAAACTCTGCCAACTCGGTCAAAAGTAGTCCAACTTGGACAAACCGTGTTCTCTCTCACCCTTGCACTCAGAAGCAGTAGTCGATTGCTGTACCTACGAACGGTGGTTCGTGATTGGAATGAAAAAGTGCAACCGGTCCGGGCTTGTTCACCGATCCGGAACGAATCCCTGCCTTGCACCACCGCGAGAAAGCGGAACAAGCGGGAGCTACTACTAGTAGTAGTAGTTCAAGGTCGTGACCCAAACCAAACCAGCACCCGTCCAGGCATCCATCGTTTGCAACACAAACGGTGGGCGCCGGCAGCCCGGCAAGGCACACCCGGAAACGAAACGACAACCACCTCTGGAAAACGCCGAGAGCCCACCATTCGGCACCGGGTCGTCGTCCGTGGCGGGTGCGACACCGCCGGGGACCCCCCGCACCGTACACGGTGTGGCCAGAGCAGAGGCACCCGGCGGCGGATCGCAAACCGCCGCCGCCGCGGTGCCAGGGTCCGTGCCCTGCCCCGCTACCGGCCGGCGGCCTCCCCGCCGGAGCCAGCGTCGTCGTCTTCGTCGAGAAACCCGAGGGCCTTCCACGCGGCAATGGGCGTCGCCACCTCCGCGAGCGCCGGCCGCTTGGCGCGCCCGCTGCGGCCGACCGCGGGCACCAGCACCCCGGCGTAGTAGACCAGCACCCCGGCGTAGAGGAGGCAGCCGGCCCCCACCACGGGGGCGAGGGAGAGCCCGAGCCCGTGCGCTTCCGCTTCGTTGGGGCCGGCGACCAGGGACGCCGCGTAGAAGGGGGGCTCGAGCCACGGTGCGCACAGCGGGCGGTCCGGGAGCGGGGGGCCCTCCCCCCCGCAGGGGAGCTGGAAGGGGAGCTGGGCCAGCACCCCGGCAAACGCCGCTAGGGTGGCCACGGCCCTCCAGGCCAGAAAGGCGCGTGCCAGTCCGGTCCCGGGATCCTTCCTTCCCCCGGACGGAGGGGCCTCCCCGGCCGCCGCGGTTTCCAGTTCCTCGCTAAGGTCCCTCCACCACCAGAGGCTTACGAGGATCATGGCCTGGGCCAGGAGGCCCGCGGGCACGCCGAGCCGGGATTCCTGGAGGTTGAGTCCCACCGTGAGCAGCAGCAGGGAGGACGCCTGCCAGTAGCTCGTCATGTACCGCAGGACCGGTTCGGCCAAAGCGGACCGGCGGTCCGGGCCGGCCCCGGGGGGCACCCGGGCCGCAACGGCCAGGCCCAGCAGCAGCAGGGGGGCGGCCACAAAAACCGCTACGGCCACCCGAAAGTCCGTCCACACCAGGACCCGGACCCATTGCTCGCTTTCCCCGTTGAGGGGGGCCAGCGCGGTTTCGGGGCTCCAGAGCCACACCTTGCCGGGGGAAAAAGGGCTCGCCGCGGCGTCCGCTGCCGATGCCAGGAGGGGGCCGTGCTTGCCCCAGCCTCCTGCTACGGCGTCCGCAAGGGCCGAAGCAGCGGTGTGTGTTTGGGAACCAAAACCATCGGGCGACACCGCCGCTGGCAGTGGTGGGTGAGCGCTCGACAACGACAGCACTTGCTCGTGTGGAGTGGGTTGCAGCAGGGAGAGTGGCGTTCTCATGGAAACAGTGGAGGAAACGGTTGGTGTGCGATGCGATGCGATGCGATGCGATGCGGTACGGTGTGATGGTATTCGTATTGTGATCGACTTCGGAAAAAAAACCACATCAGTATTTTCATCATTTCTCACCGGAAACGATCACACCACTCGAAGAAAGATCGTCTCGCCGTTTTCAGCCAATAGTGTCGAGTGAGTCGCATTGCGACAGGAGAATCCGGTTCGAAGTGAAGGTCGTACAACTCGTACCGGTATTTGCAAGTTCCGCCATCTTCCAATGCTCGGCAAGCGCAAGGGAGCAGCGACATCAAAAGATCTGTTTCTACGCCGATGAGTACCGTTGGTATCCGTTGCGTGCATTTCGTACTGGTTGTTTTCGTGTCCTTGCTTTGTCATCGCGCGTTGAGTCGTCTAATCTTACGCAATTTTTCTACCATTCGTACCGCGCATTTGGGCTGAAAAAAACCGTGTCAAAAAATCAAAACCCGAGCGAGACGAGGGAGGGGAAGATCCAGAATTGCTAGGAATCCATGAATCGTACTCTAAATTTGTACGTGAAAGGACTGTACAGCCGTACGGTACCGTACTTCTGCGGCAAATCATTATTATTTTTTGTTGGATTCGTTGTTTTTGAAGGCCTGTTTGGTTCGATACAGATTGTTCTTGTCTTCTCATCCCCGAGACGAAGTACGAGTAGCGCAACAGAAAGAAACAACGCAACGCCAAGCACAAGCAAGAACCCTTAGAACCACTACAAACACACCATCCAAGAAAAACACAAGATGGATCCCTACGTGTCGTCGTCGTCCGACAAGCCAAAGAAGAAAAAGAAGAAGAGCAAGGATCCCTACGGACCCCCTCCTGTCACCGAGGACCCCTACGGACCCCCTCCCACCGGCACGGCGGGCACGGAATCCGGCGGGAGGTCCTTTGCGAGCACCACGGCCAATTTCGGCAAGCAGAAAACCTCCCGCGGAAAAAAGTCCAAAAAGGCCAAGCAAAAGCCCAAGCCCGCGTCCTCGTATTCCTACGAGGCCGTAGACACCGGGCCCAACCCCGTCCTCGAGGCCTCGGGCTGGAAAGAGCTCCAGGACGAGCACAAGGCCGGCGGGGTCCTCTCGGGAACCATCGACGGGTCCGGGGGCGTCTTCGAGTACGCCATCACCGGCGACGAGTCCCAGATCGTCACCGTCGCCGTTCCCCCCGGCGAGTCCTGCCAGGGCGAGCCGGGAAGCATGATGTACCTGACGAGCCCCGTCAGCATGAAGGTCAGCTGCGGGGCCGACTGGTTCGGCCGCTGCTGCGGCGGGGAGTCCTGCTGCGTCGTCAACTTCAACAACCACACGGGCGAGGTCGGATACGCGGCCCTGACGACCAACCAGCCGCTGGCCAAGGTGGTCCCGGTCTCTTTGTCCTCGAGCGAGGTGGGCGGGACCCTCATCGTCCAGCAGGGTGCCTACATGGCGAGCTACGGGCACGTCGAGCTCTCCTACGACTGCGACTGCAACCTCGTGCGGTGCTGCTGCGGCGGAATGGTGGGTACTCGCGGTGGCGGCGTGGCGTGGCGTTTGTCGAATTCGTTCGTTTGTGTTGTTTGCCTTTTTTGTTTCCCTTTTTGTCTTTCTTTGCGTCCTTCTCACTCTTATCTCCGTTGCTCCATTCCCTTTCCACATCGCATCGCATCGCTGCCATGCCATGCCATGCCATGCCATGCCATGCCATCCCCAGGGCCTCGTCCGCCAAAAAATCACGGGCAGTGGAACGGCCTTTCTGGGCGCCACCGGAACCATCGTCGAGAAGGTCCTGGCGGAGGGCGAGGTCATGCTCATGGACACGAACTGCATCCTGGCATATGCCGAGTCCTGCACCTTTGACCTCAAGAAGACGGGCGGCATCGTCAACTGGATCGGCGGGGGCGAGGGATTTTTCAACTCGAGCCTCAAGGGGCCCGGCCTGGTGGTCGCCCAGTCCATGAACATGTGCTTGCTCCTCGAGTCTCTGGCGGCGGAGAAAATGTATCGGCGGTAGGCGGACGGGACGAAAACAACCAATGCATCGGACCGAACCGACCAGTGGTGGACACAGTACCGAGAAACGAACAAGCCATTGGTTGTGGTGCAACCTGTGGCGATGGGCTGTGTGTAGTGCAGTTTTGTGTTGGAATGCCAAATGAGCACGACGATGGCATGGAGTGTTTTGGTGGACGGCCGCATCGAATCAGCGGAAGAAGACTACCATTGTAGGGTAGATTTTCGGTTGGAGTAAAGTGTTGCAGTGTGATATGAAATAAAATGAGGAACGAATGTGTATGTACCATATGTCTGCAAACTAAATCGAATCAAATCGGACTGGCAAGAATGCTTGAATTGCTCTTGCTTCGAGCCTTGTAGCTGCCTCCGGTGTGGTGGATTTGCTGCCATTCATAAGTAGGCTGCTCGTGCTCCTTGTTTTCGACGGGTACCGTATCGTCTTGCTCCAATACACAAACGGAATACTGTATTGTTATTGCTATTGCTATTGCTATTGCCATCTCTATTACTTTTTCTTATCGTATGGAACCTCGAAAAACACGACCGGCACTCCCCAACCGATGAAAGGAGTATGCCTCGACTTTGGTTCGGAGTCGAGTGTCCATCCATCCGTGTCGGCCGGGCCGTGGTCGACGAGAACGGCCCAGAGTGCAGTGCACGGTGGCAATGCGCTCCCACGCTGCGCGCCGCTCGTCCACCGGGAACAGCGACACGCTCCGCGTTGTTCAGCGCCCAGGGGTGCAAACCAAAACGGAGCCCCCCGGGGGCCTCCTCCGGAGGGATTCGTTCCGCCCGGTCCGGAAAGGCCTTGCCCGGGGCCGGATCGGCGGCTCGTCCTCCTCCGAACGGACCACCGCTCCCGTCCGATCCGGGGAATCCGGAGCCGTGCCGTGCCGTGCCGTACCATCCACTCCCCCAAGCGTGCGCGAAACCGCATCGCGAGGCGGGGATTGGGTGGCGTCCTCTCCGGGCCAACGATGGGCTCGGCTCCGGCACACACCGACCCGGAACGAAGCGAACCACCACCAAACAAGTGCGTGCCAGACGGTGGACACCGGGCCGGGTGCGTTGTGGGCAACGAATCGAAAGGCAACCGATCGGTCGCCGCCGGATCGCATCACCCCCGGGCCCCGGAATCCCGGTGGATCCGGTCCCGGGCCGCCCGGTCGGCCTCGTTGAACTTGTTCTGGACCTGCTGGACGCAGTCCCGGCCCGTCACCAGGAGCCTCGCCAGCACCAGGGGATCGGTCTCGTGCCTGGCGGCCTCGAACTCGCGGCGGGCCTCCCTGCGCAGGCGCTCGTTCCAGGGCCGGCCCTCCTCGTCGCACCAGTGAAAGGCCCTGGCCGTCCGCAGGATTTCCCGGTAGAGGCTCAGGGCCTCCCTCCGGTGGGAGGCGTACCGGGAGGCGGCGTGGGCCGTGGCCTTGGGGATCCAGACGTGGGGCGGCATGTTGCGGGCGGCTGGCTTCGATTCGATTCGATGATTCGATTCGATTTGATACCGAGCGGTGGATGGACGGATGGATAGGGGGCGGGGGGTTCGTGGGGCTGCCGGTGGTGTCTTCTTGTGGAGGGGGATGTGGCTGGTTCGTTCGTACCGGTAGGCTCTAGGAGGGAACGTATGAGATTGACAAGAACGCAGCACACCTCGCTTGGGGACTTGGTATTTTTACGGTGCAGCGTCCGAATTGTCAGACAGTCAGCCAGCATGCATTCCTTGGCGTTCTGTGCTTTTGTACTCGTGTTTCGTGATGTCGAGAAGTACGAGTACACGAAAATCAGTAGTACATACAGAACGTGAAGCAGTGTTGATGGTTGGCGAACATAAATGCGCGTGCCGTGCGTTGCCTACGTACTCATACATACCATGAAACGTACTTGAACTAGGTACAAAAAATACTAGGTGGGCAAGAGACAACGAAAAAAATCCCAGACTGACGGTTTTTTTTTCCGAAAAAAAAAAAAACGACACCCAAAATTTCACTTTTTTGGAAAGAAAACTAACTACTGTAGCTACAAAGCGAAAAAGCTGCCATGCTAGGAGCCTGCCAATGAATGGTCCATCGGTGGTTGTTTGATGCAAAATGCTCTGGGTTGCCTAGTGTTATTTTATGCGTTGCGCTGCAGTTTGGGGTGCACCGTGCGACTCCACGGAGGATTGATTCGTTCGTTCCTGCGGATGGATGGAAGCAGAGTCGCTGCCCGCCGTCCGCATCTCATCGGCACAAAAGGCGTCTAGGGCGGATCCGATCCATCGGGCCTTCTCTCCGTGGCGGCACACAAGGTGGCCCCGTTTGTCTGTGTCGTGCACCGCACGCCGCTCTGGGAACTCCCCCCGGGGCCGCGGAACACAACACAAATGCCGCAGTGTGTGTGTACCGCATATTATCTGGCGGAAAACAAGACACACCCGGCGCCGCGCCTGGGTTCCGGTCGGTCAGACCGCCGGCTCTGGCTCCTCTTTCTGGCACTCCCGCAGCACCAGGGCGGTCCCCACCAGGGCCGTCAGCAGCCGGCCCGCGAAGAGGGTCACGATCCCGCGAGACCAGATGGTGGCCACCGTGGTGGCCCTCCCGAGCTGCCAGAGGGCGGCCCCGGTGGCGCAGGCCGTCCCGGCCGCCAGCAGGCCGAAGCGGCCCCCGCCGGCGGCCAGGGCCTCGGCGACGAGGGTCGGGCCCACCAGGAGCTGCTGGAGGGCCACGTGGGGGAGGAGCTCGACCAGCCGGTCCCGGACCACCCTCGACGACCCGCCGGCCGCCGCCGGGACGAAGCAGCCGGGGAGGAAGGGGGCGGCGAGGAGCAGGACGGCCGTGGCGGCGATGCCCTGGAGGACGGAGAACCGGAGCATGTAGGCCACGAGGGAGCGCGCGGTTTGGTAGCGGCTCGCGGAGGGAGCGGCGGCTCGCGGTTCGTTCCATGGGGTGCTGCCATCGCTCCCGGTGTCTCCTCTACAGGGATCCCTTTCGCGGGTTTGCGCCGGCCCGGGGGCTTCCTTCAGCACCCCCGCCAGCAGGACCTGGGCGGCGACGCCGGCCCCGTCCTGGATCAGGGCCAGGACCAGCCAGACGCTGAGGCCGACCTGGTGGGCCGCCACGTGGGCGGGGCCGATCCTCGTCGCCCGGGACGTCGCAAAGGCCCAGGCCAGCAGCAGCGAGCCCTGCTTCCCGACCATGGCCAGGTTGGCCCCCAGAATCGTGGCCACGACCTTCCGCTTGCGGGTGCCTTCCCCGGGGGAGGCGGCGCCAAGGGCCTCCCGCGGGAGCATCCTCCGCCTGCGCAGCCACACCAGGTAGACGCCGAGGGCCCCGAACTGGGCCACCGCCGTGGCCAGGGCCGCGCCCCGGACCCCCATCGAAAAGGGCGGGAGCATGAGGACCGGATCGAGCACCGCGTTGAGGAGGGCCGCCACCCCGCTGGCCAGCAGGGGGATGCGTGTGTCCCCGTACCCCCGAAAGGCCCCCTCCGCGACGGTGGCGGCGAGGACGGCCGGGGCCGCGGGGGACCTCGTGAAGAGATAGGCCCTGGAGGGGCCAAAGAGCGGGCTGGACCCGGGCACCCCCATGCACCCCAGGCACCAGGGCCCAAAGACCCTTAGGAAGACCACGACCCCGAGGCCGAGGAGGAGTCCCAGGTTGAGGGAGATCTGGACGATCTGCCTCCGCTCGTGCTCGTCGCTGGACTTTCCCACCAGGCTGGTGGTGGCGGCCGTCGTGGCCCGGAAGGCGTTGAAGGCCAGGTGGAAGAGGGAGGTGCAGGCCCCCAGGGCCGCCAGGTCCCGGGTGCCGCTGGCGGAGAGGCGTCCGACGCAGACCGTGTCCATGACGCTGAGGAGGGGATCGGCGAGCATCCCGATGAGTGCCGGGAGGGCGAGGGCCGCCGCCCGGGAGGTCCAGCGGTGGTCGGGTGGTTTGGGTTTGGTGTCGTGCGGTTTTTGTTGTTGCTGCTTCGAAGGATCGGTGGCCTTTCCGCGCGCTGGGTCGTTTCTTCCGCTGGGAGAAGCAGGCAAGACCGGGAAAGGGGGGTTGCGGATCTGCGGGAGGTTCCGGGGCCGGTGGGGTCCGGGGCTGCCAGCGGAGAGACCCTGTGCCCGACGGAAGGCACTCCGGAGCGGAAAGGCGTCGGAGAAGCAAGGGACGGACCCGTTCTTCCGGGTCGGCAGAAGGATCGTCATCATCATCAGCAGCATCGCCACCACGGTTGCCAGCGCTTTCGTTCCGGTGGTTTCCCGCATCGCAGCGGTTTGCTTCCGCCTCTGTCTCGTTCTCTTTGGTTCGGGAGCCGTGCCGTGGCGCTGCATGGTGCAAGGATGGATGGGTCTCGCGAGTGCAGTGCTGGTATCAGCCGTGCCGTGCCGTATTATGTTGTGTTGGAAGCCGTCCCCTCCGACGTCGTGTCGAAACTAAAAAATCACCCTTCAAATTACGTACCTACCGTAAAATCCATCTGCCATGGCACGATCCACGAGCATGCGCTGGAAAACAGAGGGGTTTTGATTTTGATTTTGATTTTGATTTTGATTTGATTTGATTTGATTTGATTTGATTTGAGAGCTTCTTCATTCACGCACCACCGTGTGTTCTTCGTTTCTTTACCGTACCTACGGTACTGCTCGTAGTGCTCTATCGTACCGTACCGTACGTACGAAGAGAGCCAACCGTGACGACTGAAGAATGTGTTGTCACCCGGGACTCGATTCGACCCGCTGGACCTTGATCTCGACTTTCCCCTTTTCGTATTATCTCCCCCCTATTTCCCTCTACAACCCCTAGCACGAAATACGATGCAGCAAACAGTTTCTGGCAACGCACATGTTCAGTTCAACGAAACTTCAATTCGGACAGATGGGTCGATTCGTACGCAATATCCGTAGAGGAGTAGCTACGTAGATGACAGTACCATTCTTTTTCATTCGCGAGGAAGAAGAACGATGCTTCTCTGCCCTACCGCCATGTTTTTCTCCTTTCCGTCTTTGATCAAAAACCCAAACAGAAAGCTGTCGGACGCCGACGGGAGAAGAGCACTGCACTGCGATACAGTACAGCACGAGTTGCGATAGCAGCCGCAACGGAAATCGAAATCGAAATCGAAACCACACCATACGAAAAGAGCAGGCAGTTGCACGCCGTTCCACGCAGAAGAGAGACGAAAGCAAGGGAACACACCCAACCAGCGAATCGGCAGGATCGGCACGCGGAAGCACCGCAGGAGGAGACGAACATGAGCCCGAGCGAAAGCAGCAGCAGCGGCATCGCCGGAAGGTGCCCGGTCGATCACGAGACGCGGTCCCTCTGGGGCCTCCTCGGGGGTGGCAAGAAGGACCACGGAAAGCTTCCCTCGGGAGCAGCAACAACAACAGCAGCAACAACAGCCGCATCCCGCGAGACGGCCAAGCCGGCATCCCTCGAGGAGGCGGCCAGGCACGCCCAGACCCCCCTCCCCGGCCAGAGGCTTCCCCTGTCGACGCACCGCGCCGAGTCGACGATTCCCCGCGGCAGCGGAAGCAGCGAACCCCCGGCCCACCAGGTCCGGTGGGACGGGCCAAACGAACACAAAAACGAGAACAAACACGAAAAGGGCGGCAGCAGCACCGCCAACTGGGTGTATCCCAGCGAGCAGCAGGTCTTCAATGCCATGAAACGCAAGGGTTGGAAGGGCATCGAGGAAGAATCCATCCCCTCCTTTTTGCAGATCCACAACTCCGTCAACGAGCGAAGCTGGAAGAAGGTTCTCGAGTGGGAGAAACACGGCAGCAGCAACAGCAGCAACAACAGCAACAACAACAAGATCGAGCTCTCGAGATTCGAGGGACGCCCCCGGGACCTGACGCCCAAGGCCTGGTTCCTCTCGGCGCTCGGGATCCGCGACAAGCCCTTTGACCGCCACGATTGGTACGTCGTGAACGCCAGCGAAAACGGGGGCACCGAGCGCCGGTACGTCCTGGATTTCTACATGGTGGGAGACGCAGGCCCGGGCCACCGGGACTTCGGACACGGCCAAGGCGAAGCGCTGCCCAGGGTGGAGATCGACGTCCGGCCGGCCCTCGACACCCCGGAGGCATTCGGCCGGAGGGGGATCCGGCTCCTGCGGGAGGCCTTTCCGGGGATCGCCCGGGAGTGGGACGACCGGAGGCGGGCGGGGGGAGGTCCGAGCGCGGTTTCGAGCGCGGCTTCGAACCCCGGCGCCACCGATGCGCGACTGCCGGGAACGAAGATCTAGCGGAGCGGAGCACAGCGGTCCGAGGGGCTCGGGAGTGCCGGAAGGGTTCGTTCGTCGTCCCGCTGCAAGACCCGCAGGCTTCGGCTACAGTACTACTCCAACATTATTGCGTTGCACTACACCTCGATGGCTATAATGCGTCGCTACGGTATCCATAAACATCAAAATCTCCAAAAGCATTGTCAACCGTTGCAATCCGTCAACGGTTTGCAAGTCTATCTAAATTAATTTTCGCAAGCATGGTGGTCGAAATGCTCGTTGCGTTGCGTGCCGCTCCGTCCCATCCCGTGGATCACCGGCGGCGGCCTAGAATTTCTGCATCGTCAGGGCCCGCTGCAGCCGGATCCCGGCAAACGAGGTCCCCGCGTGGATCGCGGCCCCCGCCTCCCGAAAGGCCTCGGCCAGGGCCTCGGAATCCGAAGGGGCTTGGCTCGCACCCTCGCGGACGTCGACGTCCACGTCCAGGTAAAAAGAGGTCCGGCTGTGCGTGGCGAGCGCGAGGCCCTTGCAGTTCTCGGCAAAGCCCGAGGACGGATCGGCGCCTAGGCCGAGGACCACCAGGTCGATGCACGGGGAAATGGGCGGGTGCCTGCCCCTCCGGCCCCCCTTCCCCCGGCGCTGCTCGAGCGTCTTGCGGAGGCGGGCGTACGCGCCCCTTTCGTAGGCCCCCCCGTCGCTCACGTAGAGCAGGCACACGTCGCAGGAGGTCGAGGCCTCGGCCGACAGGGCCATCTCGATGGCCCCCTCGAGGGCCGGGACGAAGCGGGAGCACGCCACCCCGGTCGTGGCGGCCTCGATTTCCGCGCGCTGGGAGTCCTCGTTTTGGGACCGACGGGACGGCGAGAGGCGCCTCAGGTCCCCGCTGGACGGCGCAAAGGTGACCATTCCCATGGAATCGTCGGACCGGCAGTTTTCCTCGTAAAAGGAGGTGCACGCGTTTCGGAGGTCGGCCAGGAACGACCGCCTCCCGTTCCAGTGGCCCTGCAGCTCGATGCAGAGGACGAAGGTCCTTCCGATGGTGTCCAGGGCCCTCTGCATCCCCGGCTTGCGCATCCGTTTCAGTTCCTGTCGGAGCATGGCGGTAGACGTCTCGGACCAGCCCTTGCGGGGGGCATCACGGGGCGGGGCGGCGCCCGCGTCGAAGCTGTCGTTGGAATCGTCGCTGCCGTGGTCGTCGTCCTCGTCTGTGCGTCCGGTGTCCGAATTTCGAAGGTATTGGAGCAGGCAGTCGGCGGTTTCGATAAAGGCCGAGTCGAGGATGAATTCGTCCTCCACCAGCATCCGGGTTGCCAAGAGAAGCGCATCGTTGCCCTTGCCGGCACTCAGTTCGACGCCTGTCACGGCGGACTCTAGTTCCTGCAGTCGCCCGACTTGTTTCACGTTGTGAAAGATCGGTGCGTCGTCTTTGTTCCAGGCTGCCTGGAGCATAAGATCTGCTTGATCCGCCAGGTCGTAAATATCCCACACGTTCCAAACATCCGGATCGATGTCGATCAGGACCGCCAACCCGTTCAGTCGCCGCAGGTATCGCTCGAATATCACGTCGGAATGCTTGAACAACGTCTTGGAATGCAGCATGTACTCTTTCACTCCCTGGTCGTATTGCCGGGTCAAAAAGAGATCGTCGAGGGCGGTTTCTTTCGCATTCGATGAGGCACAGGGATCGTCGGCCGTGTACAAGAGACACATTGCTCGATTGAAGTGTCGGTCGGCGAGCTGCTGTGCATATTGGCATTTCTCGGCATCTCCCGAGGCATTGTCAAAGTCTTTCTTCCCGGATTGAACTGCCTTGTCGTAATGCTTGATGGCAGCAACCATGCAGCAGAAGGATCCATTTTCATCGTCGTCGACGGTCAAGCAGGATCCATGGTGGCGGCATTCGACCATCCAGGCAAGCAGGAGATTTCCCATGTTGTTGTTGGCAATGGCAATGGCTTTTGAATCTCCAATCTTTTGAAAGAGTTGGAGGGCATCCTGGGCAGTGTGGTGAGCCAGCTTCAGATCACCGAGAAAAAAGGCAGAATTGGACAGGCGTACAACCTTGTATAATTTTGCAAAGGATGTATGCACCCGATGGACTTCCCTAGATCCTCCTGTCAACGGTGGCATATCGTCCTCGATTCTACCTGCGTTCACCTGCTTGACAGTTTGCAACAACTGGATCATTGGTCTTGTGATCGACGACGAAATCTACATCATGAAAAGCAAAAGTAGTGTGAGCAACTCCGAGAAGTAAAAGCTTGGCGAGATTAGCTTTGTCTATCGAACTCACCATCGCAGTTACGATGATACAAATGAAAGTTATCAGAGCAGTCATCAAAATGTACAAAATGGCAGTATTCTGTAGAGCCCGAGTGATGACATGGCTTCTCGTCGTGTATTCAGTTGAAAGGTCTTTCGTTGGTTCAAATAAAACAACGGAATACAGAAACTTGGTGGAAACCTCAGTTCCCCGTCCAAAATCATCCGATTGAACCGGCCTCACTTCTCTGTAATAGACCGGTTCGTGTACGCAACAAAATTGTTCCACTTCCCCGCGCCTGTTGGTGCGATACAAGTCGCAAGTTGCTTCCTTCCCTTCGCTTCCCATATCAAGCATCACCTTATTGAAATCACGTACAAATGAAGAGTTGGCAGGATCGAATTGCATGATAACGTCGGTGATCGGTTTAGGAGTTGTTTTGCTGCTAAAGTGGGACGATGCAACAAGATTCTGGCCATCTTTAGCATTCGGTATTACCACCGCGTAATATTTAGCGCTAATCTTACTTGCAATTTTGGCGATATCTGTTGTTGAAAAGTCAATGAGATTGTTACCAACAAATTCGCCAGATTTGGGATCGATCAAACTTGAAACTGCAGTGTTCCCGATTTCATCCGTATTTGCAAACTGGTATGGTGGAGTGATGTAAACACTAGCATTGTGATCGAGCGCTCGTTCCTTTGCTTCTGCATACCAACTGCGACACCTTGGATCGTATCCGAATTTCCCTAGAGGGCAGAGATCTGGTCTCACAAGATAGGCGCTGTTCTCCTCAGAAGATTGAAATTGCGAGTAGCCCGCCACATCATAATTGCATCCATCGTATCCATAGTACTCCCCCTCTGCCTCGAAGGAAATGTACCCCGACATGGCAGTGTTTGTTGATCCCTCACCACGTACACTGGACCCATAGTTGTAAATTGGAATAATAATTGCCGATAGTGCCGATGATACTCTAAGTCGGTCGTACGCAGTTGAATAGCCTTCGGCGTTGCTACCTTTATCCGAACCTTGCATTCGATTTGAATTCGTATACCATGACGTAGATTCTGGGCTATAGTCAACCACAGGAAAGCTTTCATTTCCCGCATGAATTTGATTCATGTACCACATTCTTTGTACGTATCTTGGGTCTGAGGTTGATGTCAAATTATTGCCATCCTCAATATCACAAAGTCGACCCCATGGATCATTCCATTCGCAGAAACAAGGAGACCTTGTATTGTTCATTTCGAATGGGCATTCCTGGATATTCTCGTAATACTTACATTCCTCTACAAACTCCATTTCTATATCTGTGAAGCTCCCGGACCGATTGACAGCACCAAACAAGAGCCAGCCCGACAGTCGGCTAATCATATGCAAGTCAAGCAGAGGTTCATCAAAGACGTGTTCGATATGCTTCACAATCAAGGTTGCAGAAGATTGAAGATTTTCCTTTTCGAGATCGAACGATGTACTGTTGGCCTCCTTGATCCATTGAGGGAATGTTGTCAATATTTGGACACCAGCAATTATCATTATCGCAACGATGGATACAAGCAAAGGCAGAACAATCCAGAAAAACAAATTCCAGAAGAGTGGCGATTTCAACAGTTTAATGTCATCCGAAACTGACACGTTTTCCCTATCGGCTGAATGATGAATATTGGATCCAAGATTAATTTGTGTAGATGTTATCTCGGAGCGATCTGTATCCAGCCAAGACATTTTTTGGGTCGATGTGATGCTTATCATAGAATTTTCTCTGACAACAGTGGGTTTTTGTTCCCATTCGATTGATCGAAAACTTAGATTGTGCTTCTCCTCGTGAATGTCGCTATCGTCAAATTTTGAAAAATCTGCCGTATCCAACTGTGAGATAGACGATTTAGCCGAACTGGACATTCGACGGGTCACGGAACGATGCCTAATCGATTCCTCTTTCAGCTTGTGTTTAAGTGTCGGACTTAACGTGTAGAACTGTAAAAATTCGTCCTTCCAGGTCACAATGTTTTTAGTTTCTGTGTGTCTCGGGACAGATACACGAGAGGCATCTTCCCCACTGAAGCCCGAGATCATATTCCTAAATTCTGATACCAGCTCCTGGACCTCGGTCTTCGGAATGAATGAAAAGAAATCATACGATTTGTCCTCGTCGTCTTCAAGAGACAGTCTGAAACTGTCAGACACACGTGTGTCGCTGTGATTTACTATTTCCCACGACTTGCTTTCGATCCATTTGAGGGGCTGCGTCAAAAAATGGGCAACAATGGCTACCACGGACAGCATGCACCCCAAGCCGACCGCACCGAGCGCTACCGAAACGATGATGAATTCGGTAACGTCTCTATCTATTAATTCGGCAATCTCGTCTATTGTCTCGTCTTGGACATCGGCGTTGATCGATCCAAAAATAAGAAAGTCCGGTTTATAATTTGGATCGTACTCATCCGGAGGGATGGGTGAGGGAAATACGGTGTAGTATTTCCCGTTGCTCTTGACACTGAAATCGTAGGTGCTAATAGCGGTCTCAATGTCCCAGATTTCTTCTTCCCAAAAGGCCAGATCGTCCGTAAGTTCGCGGTAGGTCTCCTCATCGATGAAACTTGTCTCCCATAACTTAGGCGTTAAAGTACTTTCCGTTTCATTCGCAGAGCCCAGAATTCCAACCACCACGGTGCCATCGGGTTTTGTCAAGACCATATCAGATGGAACACCCTCGTTTACCTCCTCCAGCAATTCTTCTGCCTGGATCAAACTCAGATCGAGGGCGATACAACCGATGAATTCTCTTGTCAAGCGATCAAAAACAGCCTTTCCAATCGTTAGCCTCCAAGAGTCTCTAGTGGCATCTGAATAGGGACCGTAGATTCGGGTTTCTCCGGGATGTAGGGCCTGATCGGAACACCATGCCCGTTCCAGTCCGTTGTATTCCCGGGCCGAGGCGCGTGTTCCTTCTGGAGTACATCGGTTAATCTCAGCTTTGGATCCATACGGCCTCCCAGTCAGGGGATTCGTAGCCCGCATCCATTCGCAACCGGCCGATTCGTATGCGGAACGGAAGGAGAACGGCTGCGCTGGATAAATAACGCTAGCTCCGGCTCCAGAATTGGAAAAGATGACGGCAACGGTCAGTGCCGCTGCCTCGGCCTCGAATATTGCCTTGAGAAAGACTCCAAGATCGGCGGCCTTTTGTTCCAGAGGTGCCAGCGTAGAGGTAGGATTTATCTTTCCGCCCAGGCTGGCGTCGTTGAACTCGTCGCTGCAAAAAGGATAGTATCCGATCTGGTCGGGGTCGTTTTGGTTGGGATCGCAATTGCCCTGGTACGTAAACATAGCGCTCTCGGTATTCCAGTCTTTCGCAAAGTTTTCGAAGAAAAGTTCTCCATAGTCGGCTCGTTCTTGGATGTGTTCTCGAAGGCCGTCGAAGTCCCCCCATTCCAGGTTTGTCTGGACCATCCAATCCCGCGGTAGGAGCTCGGCATGCAGGGGGTAGATGTTGAACCCAGTATCGCGATCCGGGAACGGAATATGTGTGTCATTTTCCCAGCCATCGTAAGGATACCCAACTATTCGGTCGCGCACGATTTCCGCCAGCAGCGAAGCAGAGCCCCTCAAGCTATTCATTTTTTTGTCCAGGATATCCCCCGTCAGAATGCCCGATTCCTGGAGGATGGCATCGAGCTGCGTTTGAAAGAGCTCGGTCGATTCTCTTTTGACCCCCGAACCGGCCCATAGTGCAGCAGTCGTTGCCATCAGGATTACAAGAAAGATGGTGAAAAAGGCGGTCATTCCATACCCCGCAATCACTTGCCGTCTCAGCGAATAGTTCGACCTCAGACAGCACCACTGAAGGATCCTCGCCAGCCATGACGGCTTCTGCTTGGAGTGGTGGTTGCAGCAACCTCCATTCCGAACTTGGAACGTCTTCGACGGCATTAGATGTGTATTATAGACCTCATACAAAATGTGTCTGTCACGGCAAGCAACGGTATAATCAAGTGAGTGCGCATCAACTCCTATATCATAATACGGACTGTTTAACACAGTCTACGTGTGAAATGGAATCTTGCGCTCGTCCGGTCTAAGCCTGGAGGGGATAGTTATTCTATCGAGGACCATTGTGTTCGTGGACGTTCTACCGTACAGTGATGGCACGTTCGGAAGCTCTATTAGGTAAGGTATACCCAGGAGGTATGTACAATAGATATTAAGCTCACATAAATTCATATTCTCCAAAAAAACATGATTCAACGCAATTATTACTGGATTGCGTAAGTTTTTAATACTTAAAAACTCTTCGTTCTGCGTTGAAAGTGGTACATAGTGCGGTACCGGATCGGGTACGGTACATTCGTGATCGTTAGTTTTAGTACAGTTACGAGTGTGAGGCTAAATCCCGAGTAGCTAGTGAATAACCTCACTCCTCTATTGTAAACCACCTGCCGTTTATGTTGCACTGCACTGCACTACACTACAATGCGTCAAAATCCCCTCGTCGGTACTGTTCCCTGGTCAATAAGTATCTTTCGTCGGCCCATGGCTTCTGACTGCCCGTCCTGCATTATCGAGAGATAGACACTGTATGGCACCGTGCATTCCAATCATTGCACTGGAGCCATCACGAAAATTTCGCCATGCCAAATCAATTTTTCATAACAAGCCCGGAGATCGCAACCGTTGGTCAGAGTGGTCAAGCTTACTTGCAGAGGTACGACCTATGATACCATTATAATCAACCGCTGTCGTCGTCGTCGATATGTTCGATTTTCAGTCTCGGCCTCTTCGGCAATCGCTGCGCTGCACTTTCCAGTGTCTGTATCGGGCTACGACTCACTGTATTCCTCCTTTCTATTATGTTCATTGCAACGATCAGAACTGTGGTAATTGTTCTGGCCGTCGCCTGCATCGGGATCAATATTTTCAATTTGCGCGCGGACTGTAGATTGGTGCTCTTCACTTGGACTGTTGATCTGAATGCTTATGAGCTGGAACGAACCGCCAATGTGACGAACACGGTGTCTGATGTTCTTGGCGTCGTTGGAATTCAGTTGGATAACTCTAATCGGAACTTCGATATATTAGATTATTACGTTGAGGGGGACGATGGACTTTACTTTGGACTCAATGGCTTTGCCTTTGTCAACAGCAAAAGTTCAGAATATTGGAACAAGAAATATAAGTGTGTTCCGTTCGACTCGCTACCCGAGACAAAAATTACGATGACGGAGGAAGACGTCAAGTTCTTCGACTCGATAAAAACTGTTGCCATCCTGTCTTCTTATTTTGGTTTTGCAGGAGTGCTCTGCGCATTTGTGGAGTTTCTCTTTTGTGTCTTTTATCCGAGCGTCATCGCAGGCTCCGTTTTCTTGGCGCTAGCCGCGTTTATGAACTGTGTGTATTTGTTGTTATATTATCTTGGAAGCGTAGAATGGTCAGTACCACTAAAGGAAAAATGCTCAAAACAATTAGATATTGACCTTTGATTGTTGTTTTTGCGTCGAATACATTGTTTGCTCATCCTTTCTTCCTTTTTTGATATCTTTCTTTCCGTTCTAATAAAACGATTTTGCAATACGAAAGTTTCACTGCAGGGATGTGTAAACCGGACCTGAATTTTTTTTCCTATTTATTTACTACGGGAGGGTTTTTCTTTGCGAGCTGTCTATTGGTCTTCGGATTTAGAACCTACCCCTGGTTCTTGCGAAAGAATCGAGATCCCGCAAATTGTAAGGTTGTTGAGGCAGACATTGTCGATGAAGAGGGGTACGATCGGTCGGAGCATCAAGAAGAGCAAGGTGGTGGCGTCCCAATCGAGGCCTACCGGGAACTGGAAGAGGAGCTCGCTGAAACAAAGCGGAGAATGCTCCGAGCCGAACGAGAACTCCAGGATTATCTTGCCCAGAAGGCCGGGAAAACATCGCCTCACACCGGCAGAGGCCACACTGAAAGTAATGCTTCGAACGACAAACGCATTGCATTCAGACACTACGGCTCGCAACCCGCGGAATAAGAATCACAAGAGAAAATCGATGGATGAACCAATGGGAAGCCACCAGGTTTCGACGAAAGAAAAGGATGAACGAATCGAACCATGAGAAAACGTTGTCACGACGGATTCAGAGACGCAACAATATGTGGAAAATAGCCGTGTTCCAAACAGCACCAAGAGCCGCAAAATCCTCAGAGCGCTTGCGAATTGGTCGCAAAAAGATGTTCATTGCGCTTTGCAACACCAGATACCGCCCCCTGTCTGGTTGATCTAGTTCGGCCTTGATTGCTGAAAAGCATCGCATGCGCCCTCAAATTTGATTGGTTGCAAAAAAGATACTTTTTTTAAACAACACTGTTTCACTCTATCATAGTACTTCTTTTTTTAATTGCAAATTAATTTCGTCCTTCTTAATGAATTGCACAAACTAGAACGTAATATGATGCTACGATTATATACCAGGACACGTGCAATTAATTCGACGATAGCAATGAGGCCCCAATAATGTATGCACCGCCAATCAATTCATGAGCAGAAGGCAGTTCGGTCAGGAGTATCATTGCCAGGAGCGCCGAAAAGACCGGCTCGAGCGACAGGAGAACGTTCGACTCGGCCGCCGGAACGATAGACTGAGCGGTTTGCTGCAAAACGTCGCACAGGGCCCCAGAGGAGGCGGCCGTGTAGAACAATACAACCATGGATATTGGATCCCTCCAACCCTCCCATAAGCAAAAGCTACCGCCGCTGTCGCCGCTGCTGCTGCATTCGTTGGCGTAAAAGTACGACGCGACCGTCCACAGCGTGTACAAAATGGCCATAAAGATGTTTTTAATCAGCATGGTTTGCGTCTCGTCGTAGCGACCCCCCCAATCACTCAGCCGGTAGATATAGTACGACCAACAAAACGCCGACCCTAAACAGCACCAGTCACCAAAGGAAAAAACATGGAGTGCATTATTACCGACGCTAGGGTGCGTGCTTTCGTTGCTGCCGCTATTGCTGCCACCACTCTTGTCCGAAGATAAAATGTAGAGACCCAGCAGCGCCACAAAACAGGAAAACCAGACCTTTTTCTCCACCAAAATCTGCTTTCCCCGTACGCGTCCAATGCAATACGTCAAAATGGGCGTAATGATCACACTGAGCTGGGTGAAAAAGGCAGACCGAGCGCTTGCCGTTGTGACCAGGCCAATGTTGAGGAGGCCCTGTGTACCGAAATTAAAGACGGCCAGCTCAAAGGCAAACCAATAGAAGGAGGCCTTGGAGTAGATTTCCGTTGAGGGGCTGCCGTTGGTCACCGGCGGCGATTGCAAGGCCGCAATGGGCCAGAGGCAAAGGACCGACATCCATCCCCGTGTGGCCGACAAAATGCTCGGAGCCGGCGGTCCAGGGCGTGCGTAGACAGCTCGCAGGCTCACAGACAAAGAGCCGTAAAGAAATGCTACCAATAGCAACAAAAGCCGTCCCTTTTGTTTTGCCGCAGATATCATGCCCCGCGACGGTGCTTCTCGAAGTTCGTTATCTGTCGTCGATGGTGAAGCTAGAAGAAGAGGCGAAGTTTCGCTATCCTGGTGAACATGGTGGTGATTCGTGCAACTGGTACTGCTGTTGTTTTGCTCGCTACCCATTTTCTTCTGAAAGTTCGTAGCGCTTCTATCTTAATGAATCGACTTGACGAATTAGAAACTGGTTTGTAATCAAATCAAATGAAAGAAAGTTAAATCAAAAGGGATGCCGATGGCGTCCTGATGCGAAATCAATGTTCTGCAGAACGAAACCACAACAGGAATCAATAAATTCCAAAAAGAGTCCAGTGACTGGTACTGGAACGAGCCTCTTATCGTACGGTAACTGGGCTATTTCTATGTATGATGCCGTACGTAGAACATGGTTGAAGAATGTGTTCTCTGTACGTAACAGTACGTACCATGTACCATGTACCATGCGGGTGCCTACTCGTGAATGTACCGTATGTTAGCCTCAGAGATGGGGGATATGTCATTTCCCCCACATCGTAATTTCAACATCGTAAATTCGTAAATATTTTGGTTCCCGAATATTTTAAGGGGGAGCAGGATAGCGCAAACCCTAATTGGTGGCAACGTTTTTCACTTGTTCTTTTCGTTCGGGAGAAACAACAACGTCGTAAAACAGCTCTACCTGTGCCGATCGTGTTCCATCTTGAGCGCCTCCAGCTGAATCTTGTAGAGCAGAACTCGGTCCGAAAAGTCGCGTTGGTTTCTGCCTTCAACCTGGAGCTGCTGGAGGACAGCACGGCATCGAGCCATTTGCTGGGACGCCTTTGCTACTGCTCGCGGGGCATCCGGGTTGTCGTAGCGTTCATCGGATGCGATCGTGGCCAGGTTGGTCTGGAGCTGGCTCGCTAAGACCTGAAACTCCTCTTCTAAAAATTCAAAGTACGTCTTCTTACCCATTGTTATGTTGTGCTTAATCGTTAATGATGGATATCGTTCTCTTACCGTAGTTGTTGCGCTGTGGTTCGTATTTTGATGCTGCCATAGGAACAAACGAGGCCTTATTTATACTCTTGTGCCATTCCTACTCATGCGGTTGCGTACGAGGAAGCATAGCAGATTTCGAATTTTAAAGATTTTTGTTTCAAAATCGATCTCTCTAACGGAAGGGAGAGAGATCTTTCTATTTCCATTGAGCATTAGAGATAGGGCTTACTTCATTACTGTAGCTTGTAGGAGTAGAAGTACGGGTAAAGGTTATTAGTAAGTACCAGTAGCGGTCTGTAGATTGTAGATCGTACAGTTCGGTGCGGTACATCCATACCACGAACCTTGAGAATCATCTCACTCAAACCCTCTCAAAACCATAGTACCGGTTCAGTCACCAATTATATCATCAACAGCAACATATAATCATCACCATTTCGTGAAATATTGCAATTGGGTTTCTCCCCGATGCATTTGAAAAAATCGATGCGATATTATATAAAGGGAAGGGCTACTTATTGGAGGTTCGGTTGTGACAGCTCTTTAGAATGACTGCAAAATTGTTTCGCTTCGCACCGGGCTTGGGCGGTTGCAATCGCTTCATTTCATGATTTCCATAGTCAAACATCTTTTTGTCAACGTCGTAACAATGTGCGTTCTGATCCCTCTTCTGTTTCTTCCCGTTGGATTTTTGTTGTTCGCCGTACTGATTGGCCGCGTCTTGTTCGTCGTCTAGTTTTTGCTGCCGCGACGCCTTGGTAGTTCGTCGAAAAGCTAGAAGAATCAGTTTCGAAGACCGTTTTTTCTCGACCAATTCCAACTGAAACAGTGGGTTTGTGGTCACTTCGATGAAGCGTTCGAGGTCGCAATACCTGGAATTGTCCAGTGAGGCCGATGGCAAGACTACGAATAGCATCCCGCCCCCCTTTCTAGTTCTATTGCTGCTGGAGCCATGGTTGTCGCCCGAAGAAGATTTTAAAAGCCTTGAATCGGAAGCCAGGGCAAGCATATCCCCCCGCTTTCTCGGGTCGCCTTGAAAATTCAAGACGAGCGACATGACAATAGCATCGAAGGGTTGAGGGGGCGAAGGCGACACGGAAGATGCATCTCGATGGACTTTTGCATTATTTTGCTTTTTCGTTTTGCCTTCTTCTTTTTTTGCTACAGCTAGATCCTTTCCGGCACAATATTCATGTGCGTAGTCAAAGAAGTCGACTTGTAATACGGTATCGTGCTGTCCACCGTGCAAATCGATGGGCACGGCATCGAGCCAATCGTCGTATCCTTTCCCAAAGTACTGGTTGTCGATGGCACCCACGTCCAGAATGCGCAGCCGGCGGGGGTTTGATTCTGATTGTTTGTCCGATTGGCTTTTAGCGGTCATCGTTTTTGCTCCAGCGTGTCGTTCTTCTTCTTCTTCCTTCTCGAGTTCCTTCTTCAGAAGAGGGACAACCCAATCGGCGCAAACAAACTTGGAAGACTTGGCTCCGTATATGCTGGCCTTTTGGTAGCGATCAAGACCACCCATGGCATCCTGTTGTTTCTTGAGATCGAGAATTATTTTTTGACGTTCTTCCGGCGTAAGACTCTCGTCGTTTTCGGCCTGTTCCAGCCGTTTGTTTAGGGTGTGGTATTCGGAGATCACTGCAAGAGATTCGGCAGTGCTGGAAAAGACGTTTTTGTTGTTGTTGCCATTGCCGTTGTTCTCTGAGGCGCGGTCTTTTCGTTTCCGTTTGCGACTAGCAGAAGACAACCTGGAGGTACCGGAAGCCTCTTCGCGATCGGCAGCAGCCCGCTTCTTTGCGAGAGAGGCGGCCGTTGTTCCCTTGACCAAGGGCATAGGCGCTCTGGTATTCTTCTTCTTCTTCTTGAAACTTTTGGAACTAGTTGGTTGCGCCATGACTGTGTCGCTGCTACGTCTTGAGAATTTTGCGAGGTGTCGTTCGAAACAGGGTGAAAGGGTTTGGTGGTGAGATGTATTACAGTACCAGCACGGTGTTCGTTTGTTTGTTACAGATGATGAGTTTTTTGTCAGGTCTCAATTGTAGCGGTATTTCGGTATTTCGATGGTCTGCCATCAGTCATGAATTGTTTTTCGAGTCGTGTGCAAACAACAAGTACTACGACAAGTACGAGGTACAGTACCGTACTATGAGTACTACTCGTACGACCCGTACGTACGTAGCGGCTCATCTTTTTACTTTTTACTGTACCTAAAGTTTTGCTCAAAACTATCTGCCGTACCGTACGGTAGGATGAACCGTTTCGTTGTACAGTAATTCCGATGATAAAAATGAAACAACAGTGGTGTGCAATACCTTCCGTGACATTCAAGGCACGAATTAGATTTGTACTAGCTCTGACTCCAACGTGGCTAGCACTAATAAAATCAAGTCTCTGCCTGAAGAAACATTGCTACAGCAACTGAGTTCAGGTATATCCAACCTTTGTTCCGAAAGATGTACATAATAATACTTGTATTATAAAATTAATGATGGCAGGTGTGTTGTTCATTGTTCCGTAAACTAATGTTATAGAACAACAGACAACAAGTTGATTCGTGGAAATTTGCTGGTGATAAAATTCTCCAAACTTAATTTTCCTTATTCTGAGTTGGTTTGGGTCAGTTCAGTCATGACATGGCTGCATTCGCGCTCAAGTTTTAGGTGTGTACGCGCACCAACATCAAGGGCCGTCTGGACCACGGTCTTCGCACCAAGTTCCTTCGCTCTACTTCGGGCTTTGTTCGACGCTCGACACAGAGATTTGAGGCATTTCGCTGAGAGACAAGCGTTGTGGGGCTTCAAGTTGGCTTTACCGAGTTCAGAGATGAGAGTTTTCATTATCTCCTTGTCCTCCGAACCACCAGAGCACTCAAGGGACTCGTCCAAGAATCGTTCCGAAATGCTCTCTGAGGTGTCGAGACGACGCCTGTTAGTTGGTACTTCTTCTTCGGGAGTAGATGATAAAGATGAATCACCATCCAACAGACTATCTTGCTTCGAAATGACGTCAAGGGCATTGGCAAGTACCGCAAGAGCCAAATTGTGTAGGACCGTAATGTGCTCGTCTTCAGAACATGCTTCGGCTTCGTGGTCATAGTCGCATTCCTCGCCTATACGTCGAAATTGAACAAGCGACAATATGCTTTCTCTTATCTCTTGGAAGGGTGTTTCGTCTACAATCAAATCTTCTTCGGGCTCTAAAGAGTTGCAATCCATGCCTTTCGCAGTTCCAAGCAGAACAACATGACTTGCTATCAGAGCGGTTCTGTTGCCCGTCTTTCTGGGATCAGTCAGTAGACAAAGACTCTCAAGACCCAATTGTCTGGCGTCCATACGGTCCTTCATCAAAAGACCGTGAGCAATTTCTACAGCAACGACAGCATTATCGGTTTCTGTTTCGGCATCTCTCTCTGTTTCAAGGTTTAATAGCCGATCGATTTTCTTCGTGTAAACAATATCAATGTCATCTCCGTTCTTCTGGATGAGCTCCTTCATATTCAACTCCCCAACTGCTGCATCCAGGATACACCTTGAATATTTGTGGAAATGGATGGAATCTCCTTTCCGCCTTTGAATTTCGATGACAATCCCCTCTTGGTTCCCTGATGTTTTCCATAAGGATAAATACATCTCGACATTTTCAGCAGTGTATAAATCTGCTGTGGCTGTTTCGTTACAGTAGACGGCATGGATGGAAAGAAGTCGATTCGCCTCCGATATACGGCTTACCACGACTCCCACTTCATCTTCGACAAAGCGACTGGATCGCTCGAGTGGGTAAAAGGTTGGAACAGGTCGCAATTGGGTGGGATACCAAAGCCGTTGGTCGGGATTGAAGCTAACGTCCTTCGGCTTTTCTGTTGACACTTCGGGTTGAAAGTATGATTTCTTGTCAATGATGTCGGAGGGAGCAGATTTTCGTACTCCAGCTAAGCTGGTTGGTCGTTGAATAGCTACGGAGCTGGAGAAAGAGAGAACAAGGATGAAGATGAGATTTGAAACTGCTCTCCGCACAACAGACAGATATTTTTCACGTATTGTTCCAGTAAGTGCACAGATCCATAATCGCAGAACCTACTGGAACGTCGTCGGATTCTGACACGCGCGTGTGCGACATCAATTATCCTTAAGTGAAACTATCATATCACGCGTGCCCTGAACCCACATACAAAAGCTGAGTCGTGTGCGAAAAAAATAGCCAAAACGATGCTCTGAAAGAACTCAGTATCCCCCTCTTATTTCCTCGTACCGACTGGACCGGTTGGTGAGCGTCCAACGTTTACGTCGAATACCAGGTTCTACCTCACACGCACAGTGTACGTTGCCAAAAGAGGCAGTTAAAAAATAATACGAGCGGGTGGATTTCCCTTCGTACCGAATGGTGGTACGGATACGTCAAGGTTCATCCAACACCTCCGTGAACCTGCTCCAGAGGGGGAAGTACACCATCGACTGTTCATGTCACGATAGTATAGAGTTCATACGCTCTCCACTAACCCTCTTCCGGATTTTGCTGTCGGATACAGCTGAAAGGAAACTCACCGGAATTCTGGACCAGATGGAATGACTTCAGGGCGGGCTGCCGGTTTCTTGTCTCCTGTTCCTACATTGTTGTTTTGGGTATTCATCTTAGTTTTGTAATTGTTGTGTTGTTTATCATGTATTCTATGGGTGGAGTCTATTATTTGGTGTCGTGATGTTGGTCTATTAGAGATACAGTACTTGTGGAAAGTTTTCTGAAACGGGAAGAAATTATGATCAGACTCTCTTGAGACGAGATGATAGTGACTACAAAGGGGAAAAATTCAGGAGGTTGGAAAACACCTCTTGAAGCTTTTTCGTAGAAGCAACGTTGGAACTTGTACCGCAGCGATCATTCGGAGCGCCAAAAAAATACTGCCTAGACTAGCCACGAGCAAAGTAATCATGAGCCCCAGCGAACTGAACCATGTTTATGTAGCCTCTCAAAAAGACTGTATCGCGGCGGGACTCCGAGATCTCAAACTTTTGAAATGGAGTTTCGAATTTCGAACGTACGAATGAACGTACGAGTAAAGTACTCCTACCGTCCTTTACGACTGACGCCCTTCACGACTGACAACTCCTTCAAATAATTTTTTTTCCAACCGTACGTACCTTTGTGTACCATTTAGCGTACGGAAACTGTTATGAGTTTGTACTCGTAGAAGTACGGTGCTTGGTACTCGTACTTTACTTGTACGGCCAGAAGAGTAGCACATTGCACCAAATGTTGTACGAACCAGCTGATTAAGATGATGACATGGATAGGTGATGATAATTCTTCGGTTTCGTTCCTAAAAGCGCGAAGCATAGCTAACGAACGAATGAATCAATTGTTTGCTACAATTCTGAAGTAAATTTAGTCAGAGAATGATACCAAATTCAAGTGGGATTCAATCCAATAACTTCGAATGGATTTCTTTCTCTGGAACACTGCGCCATCGATAGATAACCTTGCTTCCGTAATGAAGTGGTGTGAAAGGAATTTGGTATTTTGGGGCGCAATCGATACATGATGCAGTACGATCGCTCCAATTCCGACGACTTCACCCACCAACCGTCGTTCAGACATTCAAAATCTATAGTCAATATTAATCTGTGTTTATTACTGCATTGTTATTCGTCATCGTCTCCCCAATCCATCATAGCTGCTCGCTTTCGTTTTCTCGCCATCTTCTTCTTTTGTTTGCTAATCGCCTTCGAAGTTAGTTTGATAGTTAATATATCTCGATCATTTTCGCTAAGCATTGCAGAAACCGAAGAAGGCTCTGGCACAGAAGCCGCGTCGACCGGACTTGTTATCGCTGCAGCTGGCGCTTGCTTTGCAGTTGCTACCATCGGTGTCGAATGCATTATGCCGAGTCTAGACTGTTCGTCAGAAATCCATTCTCGTGCCCGTGCCGATTGTAACATGCGATTATAGACACTCTGGCCGATAACCTGAGTCGACTTCTGCATCGTTACCAGCTCGTTCCGTTGTCGTTCAAAAGTGGCCTTGTGCTCTTTCATGACTTCTGCAAGTGATTGATCGTGCTGGCCATCATATTCTTCTTCAAAAAACGGAACCTCAAAGTCCGTGTCGGACTGGCGTCGATTGATAGAGAGCCGAATACTTGAACGCACCCGAAGACTTCCTTCCACCTTGACTGGATCCCGGCTTGCCTCTCCAGCTGACTCGGACTTCCACTGGGCACGAATGCGTTCTCGTTCCCTTCGCTCTTCTGCCTCGATTTCCCGTTCAGCATTATTATGGTCGATGCGCTCGCGTTCAACGCGGTCGCTCACAGTAACCATGAGCTTGTTAATAGCAATTTCTAGCTTTTTTGACATTACCCTGGCACCCTCGAAAGCCTTCCCCGAGACTGTTTCGGTTTCGTTTTTGTACTTCGCGTTGTACTTCAGGGCATTCGTAAATATCAGGCGCAAATCTTCGATAATGCCTCTGAACGTATCATAATTTCGCTTCTTTAGAGTTTTCTGTACCTTTTCCCAGTACATTGGTCTACAATGCCAATCACGGAAGAAGAGGGTCAATTGATTTTATGAGTTCAATTTCGATCTGGGAATCGTGAAGCAAGCTCCAAACAAAAAGCGTTGAAAAAGGAGTAGAAGTCTTACCTAGAAATGAATGCCGAGTAATCCGGTGGGAAGTTATCCCCATGCACAAAGAACGTCATATATTTGTTATCTGATTGATGCCGCAAAGCTTTCAATAACTTTTCACATTCTGCCTCCATCCACGTGAATCTATCGCCCTCAAGACTCTTTTCTAGTGGCTCGTTCAGGACTATTTTCTCCATTTCGCTTCGAGACATTTTCTGATTTCCCTTGGTAAGTTTCCAGGATTTTAACGGCAAACCATCGTCTTCCGGTTCGTCGATGTATTCATCGTCCTCGAAATGTTCGGTCAAAATCTCTAATGAAAGCCATCTGGTATACTTGAGTAAATGGATCGATGCATCATAGTAGGCACAAGACAGAGGATCTCCTACGTCTCGTGCATCTTTATTAAAGCAGATGGCATTGGCAAAGACAAGAGCGACATCGTTAACAAAGTCTTCAGGCGCTGTGTAACGATTGCCAGCTAATAATGTACATTCTGCTGTGGTCAAATCCATTGGTTTCTTGATTTTCATGCCATATGCTTCCCGAAGTCCCTGTGGTAAAATATGTGAAAATCCATTATTTGCGAGAAATTAGCTTGGGCGCACTAAAAACTTCACAACAATCAAAAGATCGATGAACAGGACAAAGGGAACAACCGAAAGCATAGAAGAGCAAAACTATAAACTCACAGGGAATAATACGGGGACAGGAACGTTGAAGACGAACTTGGGTCGGGCCGCCGAGATCCATGGATGCCGCTTCAACTCCTTGAAAAAACGAGCACAACTCGCCTCCCAACTTTGCAAAGTCTTCACGTCTCGACGTAGGGGAAATCGCTCCTTAACTTGAGCAATAGCAATGTGTAGCGGCACCGGCTGGTTCGATTTTGCCTTGTTCGTCGAAAGCTTGATGCTGTTATTTGACTTCGACTTGGCGGCCGCCTTTTGTGCTTCAGAAAGAGTAGCGGCGCTGAGAGAAATTCGGGGCGCGGCCTTGCCGCTACCGGATGTGGAGAGTTTTATCTTTTTGCTGGGACCCTGACCTATTCCAACGGTAGGCGGGTCTTTGCGAATGCTTGATGATCCGCTACTTCCTGACATTCCAAGAACAGGCGTCGGCTTGGCAGACGAAGGGTCGTCCAGCACCTTCATACGAGTGCTGAAAATACGTCGAAAGGATTTAAGGCCAAATCTTCCAAGGGCCACCAGGTGGTCCATTTTTCGGGCACTGTTGTAGGTTATGCAATTCTGAAACATAAGAACCATGTCGTATTCGAAATCTTCAGGGGTGGTATATTGTACGTTTCTGATTTTGCGATCAACAGTTTGCAGGTCCATGGGTGACTGGACATATTGCATGTAGTCAGGAATGACAGCTACCGAAACGGGTTTTTCAAAGTTTGCCATCGCCGGTTCGGTAATTTTCGTGGCCTTATCTGTATATTTTTGTTCTCTCAAGTCTGCCAAGATCTTGAGCAACAACGACATGGGTGGCTTGGGAAGCAGTGTGGCCGTCGAAACACCCAACTTGGCCTTATTGGCAGCAGCGAGGCCCGCGGACGATTTCACGTAACGATTGAGTGCATCCAATTGCTGTTGTAGAACTTGATTGAGTCGTTGGGCTTGGTCGCAAAAACTTTTTGATTCCGTCTTTTCTCCGTAATACGCCATACAGTTTGAAATGACTAATTTACAGTCGCTCTCAAACTGATCCAGTGTCGTGTACTGTCCCTCCATCAGTTGAGATGTGACCGTCCCGAAATCCATGGGGTTGGGTGCTTTGTGAAGGTAATCGACTGGAAGAGTGCCGCCGAAAAAAAAGGATACAGGATGCATGAAGTAATATGCCGTAGGGTTCCCATCTTGCGGATTGGTCAGATTGTACAACGTATCGATGACATTCACACACAGCTTCCAACAAAATAATAGAGGTGGGTATAATGGAGTTGCGCTAGCTGCAGTTGCATTCTGTGCGTACTCGTGTTTCGCCAAGAAAAAAGTACAGAGCTGGTCAGCAGCATCCAGCGTCTCTACGGCAATCGGCCGGAGACTATCCTTCCCATTGGTGGTGTTGTACCGGAGGCAATTTCCAAAAATCCTCCGCAAATCCCAAACAAATGCTGCCACCGTAGTATAACCTTTGCTACTGCTGGTATTCGATGTGCCACCAGGACCAAAGGTGGTGTTGTCAAGCTTGGTCTGCATAGTCGACAAATCCATTGGATATTTGATTTTGGCCTTGTAGTCTTGTATGAGTTTCTTGTCCGAAACTGGTTTTTCGAACCAAACAATGTTCTTCGCCTTGCGTCGCTTGATGCCATTTAAGATTTTGTAACACTGGGCCTTCCGACTAGGTGTCATTGGGAGGCCCCCAGCAGTGGCCTTGTAGGCGGACGATGCTTTGAGAGTGAACTTGTTTTTCTCCTTTTTGTTCACGGACTTGGCTTTGGAACCCTTCGGTTTCCCCTTGGTCGTCGAAGTCTTAGGCTTATTACTGCTTGTTGTGGCTGCAGTCGCCCTGATGGTAGATTTGGGAGTGGTCGCTTTCTGTATCGATGCCTTTGCGCCAGTTGGTTTGCTGCCAGAAGTCTTCGTCGCTTTTGTAACTTTGTAACTACCGCTAGAAGTGCCGGTGGCMGCTTTGTTATTCGTTTCTGCCGTAGAAGGAACTGTCACACCCTTGGGTAAGGCCTTGCCCGTCGAAGGTTGAGTGACGCCCTTGGGCAATTCTTTTCCACGAGATCCTCCCGACCCCGCCGATGTCTTGAGCGATATTTTTGGAGACGCATTGCTTTTTTTGGTGGTTGTGACCGAAGCAGGAACGACAGCTTTCTGAGTGTTTTTGCTGCTGCTTTCACTGGTTGTTTTTGATTTCCCCAGGCCAAGTTTCAGCGTCAATCGTGGCTTTTTGTTCAGCGGAGCTTTGACCGATGGTGATGATGACGAACCTGCTGTCGCAGATGTGGGAGATGTCTTTCCCCGAGATGCCACGCCCACTGCTCCAGTCGGAGGAGTTTTGCCCCTCGAGATCGTAGCCCCCGTTGCCCGAGCGGCGGGCTGCTTGATTTTGATCTTTGGCTTATCACCACCAGATGCTCCAAGTTTTAGCTTGATTTTGGGAAGCGATGTCGCTGTTCCTCCAGAAGAGACGACTTTCTTTTCAATCTTTTGTTGCTCCCTCTTGGCAATCTTAAGCATTTGCTGGGCGGGTTTTATGATCCATTTTGTCGTGTCCTTGTCGCTATGGTACCTTATGGCATTTTCGAAGATCAAATTACAATCCTCGTAGACTTGGTTTCTGCTAGAATAGAATCCGTTCTCAATATTTTGGGAGAGCGTAGACAAGTCCATAACGCGTCCGCAGACATCCAAATATCCAGGCGTATGGCTCAAGTCGAAAGGATTCAGAAACAAGGCGTTAAAATTTGAATATTTTCCAGATTTCAAGCTCTTGATGAGTCCCTTGCATAAGTCCATGTCCTGCTGCGTCATCTTCATTGTAAATAGCTCAGTTGTTGCGTATTACTGTATCCCGTTCCGAGTCTCACGATCAGATTGACGATCACACTGAGGATCGGGTCTACGCCAGGCCAGGGCAGGACAGTCCCTTTAATTTGCGTTGTGAAATGAAGCACAACAAAGTCTTAATTATTCGCTTACTTTCCAAGAAAAAATCGGGAGTATTAAAGGAAACCTACCGTTTGTTTTTTTCATTAGGTCTTTCGCGGTTTGCTGCAAGTGGAAGTCAAAATGTAATCGTCGAGTAGCTCGCTTTTCGCGTGTAATCACGGGCGCTGGATTACGAAATGATTACATGTAATCATGCGCTAACAAACACTAGTTAATTTTTTACTTAAATCTTGCACCTTGATGGATTACAAACCTCCAAAATTGATTACATGTAATCAAAAATTGTATTCAGCGCTCTCCAGAGCAACACCCTTGTTTTTTCCACTGTATCGCTAGTTGTTTGGCTGAATCGGATTACAACTCCGATAACAAAATTTTCACCATGGATTACTTTTTTTTACTTCGATCCAATTTTTTTGTTTCCAACTCAGCTTAGTTTGCTGTATCACTCAACTTTGCACTCTTCCAATATTTCGCGATTAACAGTACGTTCTCTCTAAAGAAGATGAATCTGTTCATCGGAGTGGACCCTATCATGTAGAATAGTACTGGATATCTAGGTGATCAGAAGGGCGACATGGAGTGAGGACTTTATCGAAAAAAAATAGAGAACTCCTCAAAAAAGTATAATGGTTGGGACTGCTCTTCCAATATTTTGCGTTCTCTCTAAAGAAGATGAATGTGTTCATCGGAGTGAACCCTTTGATGTAGCAAAGTACCTGGCTGCTACGTGATTCCAAGGGCAACAAGGAGTGAAGTCGTCGAAAAAAACTAAGAGAACTCCTCGCTCACAAAAAGAATCATGGTTAGGACCAGAAGCGACAACAAGGATCATCCAAAGCGCCTGGAAGAAGACGTGTCAACCATGGTGCATGGCCTGAATACGGCCACATGTTTGATGCGTCCTCAACTCAGGACTTGGATGTTGTGAAGAAGGAACTGTTCGCTGCGAGGAACAGGAGAGGGGACGATATCTCCTTTTGTGTTGATTCAACACCAATCAATGTTGATGCCCCCCCTGGCTTGCAACAACCACCACCAATCTTTACAGCTGGAAACAGCAGAGCATTGAGATCAGGAAGAAGAGCAAGAAGAGTTATGATGATGAGTGAAGATACCTCCTCCTCCGCACCCACTTCTCCTGCAGTCGACCCAACAGCAGCATCAAAAGAAGCCCCCCCCCTCCACCATTGTCCGCAATCCATACGCAAAGAGGTACACAAGCAAGAAGGTTTGCCTCCCCCCACCACCACCAGCATGTGGTGGTTGTGCTGGTTGACAACGATTCCAACCCCCCCTCCCACCACCAGAAGCACCAGTAACCACAACTCTCAACAAAGATCCACCTTCATTGACAACAGCCAAAACAGATAACAACAACACATCTAACCCACCACCACCAGCTAGTAGTACTACTACTGCTATTAGTACAAGCAAGAACAACGCCACTACTAATAGTAGTAGTATTGTTGAGTATGCAAGGAAAATACAAGACAATGCGAATGCTTTCAACACTCTTGGAAGTGACGAGTATCAGGAGATGGAAGCAAAGACCAAGAGGTATGCAAGGACCATTAGAACTATTCACAAACATTTTGTGGATATTGTAGCTGCAGCCACTGATCCAGTGAAAAATGATCCAGGGGACAACGTTATGTATGAGATGTTTACAAAGAAAGTGTTAATGGAAGATGGGCTCACTGAGGACTATTTATTTTACAAGCATGTAACAGGAAAGACTAATGCTGTAAGCAAGCAAATAGTAGATCGAGCACTCAAAGTTTGGCAAAATACATGAAGAACACCAAAACAGGAGCTCCACTCGACACAAGCACTATGAGCGTTAGGATCCAACAGCTCTTTGTTGCTCTTCACGAGAGAGATGTAAGGTTCAAGGAAGGTGATTTCAAGACAAAGGGAGGATTTCTTGCTTTTATTAAGCACGATTATAATTCAAAACGAGAAGCTGATCCTTCCATTGGAAGAAAGAGGACAAAGGCTGATTTTGATGAGTTTGTTGATGAAAAGTTCCGTGAAGTGTTGACTGATGGTACTTACAAGCCTTACAAGAACATAGAAGATTTGGTAAAGCTAATGGCAATGGAGCTAGGAAGACAGTTTGGAATAAGGGGGGGGACAGAGCTCGTTGGACTCATGTGGTCACACGTGAGAATGGGAACCTTCAACAGTGGTAACATGAAAGGATTGAAGTATGTACTAATCATTGCTCCTGGAGGAGGGTTTGATAAGTTGCACCAGCTTTCACTGAATAATCCAACTGTAACTAAGCAGTTCCCCTCCGTTGTGGAAGACCCTGAAAATCAAAACTGTGTTGTAAAGCTTAGTATTAACTTCTACAGGAGTCGATATGATCCCAAGCAAGCAAGGTTCCTTTGTCATCCTAACTTGAAGAAAAAGAAGAACAACCCATACTACTTCAAGAGCTCATCTCCTGTGGGAGGTGGATCAGTCCGTGCTTTGGTGAAGGAGCTCATCTCCTGTGGGAGGTGGATCAGTCCGTGCTTTGGTGAAGGAGTTTGCTGAAGTTGCTAATTTTAGGGACTGGGAGAAATATACACCTCACAATAATCAACACTGATGCTGCACTATCCTTGCTTCCAACCTTGCTGTTCCGGAGAAGATGAAGATGAACTATCTCAGGCACAAGAGTAGCAAGTCTGCAGAGCCATATATTCATCAGATTTCAGTAATTCAACAAGCTGTACAATGTGTGTTTCACGGTGGGCTCCATGGTAACAAGAATGAACCTTAGACAGGAAACTTAAGGCTGGAGCAGAGGATATCAATGTCATGGTTGAAAAGAAGAAGGATATCAATGTTGTTTTGGAAGAAAAATCAAAAAGAAGCAGCTGCAATAGTGCTGACGGCAAGAAAGCAGCAGCAGTTCTTGCAAGTTCTTCTCCTGTTGCAGATATGGGAGCAATCGCAGCGGCGTCCTTGCCGGCAGGAGGAGGTCTTCAAAGTACTAGTAGTACTTGTAGCAAGGAAATAGTTACACTGACAAAGGGAATTTTAAAGAAACAACTTGTCATGGCAAAAAAGGTAGCTGACTGGAAGAAGCCCAAAAAACAATTTTGGATCTTGAAAAGAAGCTTTGCTTGGTTGAAAAAGACTTGCAAGATAAAAAGCTATCTGAAAAATCCAGGAGGCAAAGGATGAATATCATCAAAAGGAGCTTGCTTGGGAAAAGAGCAAAAGAGCACAGCTTGAAAACGAACTGAAGATGTTGCAGCGCTTAAAGGAGATTGAGGAGGCTTGACAAGGAGTACAGATGTCCTGTGTTATTATGTAAAGCAGAGTCTTTTCTTCTTGTCTATTTCACAACAAGAACAACAAAATTTTGTAAGAAATCAGTAACTGAAATTATTTAAACTTAGCAGTCGACGATAACAAGCTCCTTTTTGTTGTTGCTCTGTCAATGCAAGGAGTACTACTAGTAGCAGCGCTCATGAATAAGGTGGGTGCCGGTCGTGATTACATGCAAAAAGCGAGCAACTCAACGATTATGTAAATAATTGGCGAGCTACTCTTCAATACCAACAATGTTTTTACCATAAGTTGACAATGTTTTTACCTTAAATCTACCAGAAAAAAGCCAGAGAAATTTGACCTAAAGGAAAATAGTTTCCTGGGATCCCATATTCTTCATACAGCCGTTGCTTTCAAACACACATGTGCGCAATGCTACCATTGGTCAAAGTGGTTGAACGTGCGGTTGATCTAGTAGCCAAACATATGTGGAAATTCTCTTTTTCAGAATGTTTCCAATTTTGGTAACAGGTAAGAATACCGGATTGCTACTATAAATGCTACCAGATTCTGGTAACTGTTCTGGTAACAGGGATGATCATCATTGAAGATTTTACCATGCACCTTTGCTACTAGACCTGTTACTGGAATGGAAGCAGCAGGCGCTGCTTAACACACAAAATGAAGCATATGCGTTGCAGTCCCAGGAGCCTCCAAGAAACTATTCCTACCAGAATTTCTACCAGAATTGCTACCATCTTGCAACTCAAATTGCTACCATCTGGTAGCAAAATGGTAGCAAGATGGTAGCAATTCTAGTCAGATTTTGGTAACTGGTAAGAATACTGGATTGTTACCATAAATCCTACCAGATTCTGGTAACTGTTCTGGTAACGCCAGCAAGTTACCATTCATATTGCCTGGTAGTGTGCCTGGCGTGGTAAAATAGTCAATGATGATCATCCCAGCTGCCAATTTACCGTTCTTATTGCCAGACTATTGCCTGGTACTAGCGTGCCTGGCGTGGTAAAATAGTCAACAATGATTGTCCCAGACTCCCTTTTCCGTCAACAACTCCATTTCACAAAAAAATATTCTAGTATTTTTTTCCTTTTCAACTTCCATGATTACTGGAAATCTACTACCAATAGGATTTGTCCCACCTGAAAATTTTTCTTTCCTTATCCCCCCCACTAAGCATCCTTTGTATTTACAAAAATCTTGCTTCCATTTTAGTTGTAGGGTCAACAGGGAATGGGAATTGCATTTCTTTTTCCAACACCTCTTTGTCCTGCTCCTGTCCTGATAAAGTTCCCCCTTGCAAAAATCTTCTCTTTCTGTGTTCTCATTTCAAACATAAAAAAATTACCTGTAACATTCTGACAATCAATGTTTCTAATCTCCTTACTGTGGGCTTGTAACTGCTGCATTGTCCCTTCCTTCATTTGCCTTTTCCAACCAAATCTGCTTATGGTAGATAAGAGGTACTATGTACTACAGTGCAAAAGCTAAGTGAGTGCCAGCAAGGTGGAAAAGCACTGGTCTAAAAAATTATTTAGAAGCTAATCAATGAAAGCACTCTGGCTGTTTGTTTTTTTTGAAATAGGAATTGAATTCTTTGATTTGTTAGTTATGCTGGGTATTGTTGTTGGTGTTGGTTTTTGTAGAAGGAGGAGGAGAGGAGAAGTTTCTCCCAAGATTTTGCAGTTCTTGAATTGATGGTTTGAGTTTGCTCTTTGTTCAAGCCACCATTTCTTGTTCTTTAATCATCAAGAAGCTCCATTTATTATAGCATTGGCCAGCTAATGTATGACTGGGACTGTACATTTTGGGCCATCTAATTACTATGCAATGACTCATGGGATTAAAAA